ATATATATATATATATATATATATATATATATATATATATATATTCCTTGGCAGGTTGGAGTCATTGCACTGTGTTTGGTGACGAGGCTAAGGATGGACCCCTTTCATTAGTTGATCTCACTTACCCCTCACTAGAAGGGTTAGGTGCGTACCGCAATCCGCGAGATTAAACTAAGTGCACGAGCTTCTCCAAAAACTAAGTGCACGAGCCAGATTCCAAATTGATTCATCAAAGATCAATCTCACGAATTGAGTTAGTTGGGCTCGATCCGTGGTCGGAATTAGCCGAGTTGGCCCATTCTTGCTTTGGCTGACGTGAGTAATTCATGTAAGTGTTGTTACTTATATAACATTGTTGCAAAAGGCAACAATGACCGGATTTTTCTTGAATTAAGAAAGAACCCAACGTTACAACTTAAATGTTTTACTAGAATGAAATTAGGGTTATTTTATGACCCTATATATAGAGTCTAAAAAAGTACCTGAGCCACTTGTCATGTATCCTTTCTTTAAGGTGGTTATTATAACTATTTAATTAAATAAATAAAAATTTTGAGGCTTATAAAATAATTCCAACACCCTTTTAGAGGTGAAGGTAATATTCTTTTATAGAGGCATAAAATAATAATAATTAGATTATCATTTTTCACACTAAAGAAGGAAGACATTATATCTCAATTGTGATTACCTTTGATTTAGAATTGTTTACTTTTAATTTTAGCATACTGACTTGTAACTTATATAAATACCCTTATGTAGATGTAGAACAATCTCATTAAGCAATACATCTCCTCTTTGTTCCTGTTCATGGTATCAGGACATCTCTCTCGATCTCAACTGCATTAAGAGGTTTATACTTATAGCTTATTTTCTAAATAAGGTAATTGAAAAATCTACCATCAATTATTGACCTTAAAACATCTCCCCATAATTCTATCTTCATGATTGACGAGAGTCATATTAAAATTATGACAAATCTTATAGCTCCATCTCAAACCAACATCTTGATATACATTAAAACTTACCAAGCTCAATTACGTTTGCCAA